GGGGGTGGGAAACATGACATCCATTATCTTCCCCCTTCCCCTGTGTTAGGATCTTAGCCCTGTGGCCATGGGCTAATGACTTCCCCGAGGGGAGCTAGCCCTTGCCTGCCCCCACCCCAACCAAGAAGCAGAAAGATGAGCAGTGGCCTGGGGCCCTGACTAGACCCGGCCCCTGCACCTGGCAGTAGGCTGCTCTCCAAATTCTCTGGGCTCTTCCCCAAGTTCTCCTTGGCATCCAGAACCAGCCTCCCTCAGCCCTGCGATCCAGGCGTCTAACTCCCAGCTCTCCACTCTTTCGGTCGCTTTCTCCATTCCTGGGTGGGCACCAAGCAGAAGGTGGAGCCGCCGCTTCCCCTGGGAGCCGACCTCGAGGTGGTGATGACTGCAATCCCAAAAAGTAACACGCGGGGGCGCCAGGACGTGTGCGGACGCGGGCGGGGCAGCGCAAGGTGGTTTCCGTCCGTGTGAGTGTGTCCATGGGCGTCTTTGTGTGTCTGCGTTTCTGTACATGTGTGTACGAGTAAGAGGGTGTCTGGGTGAGATGTGTTCGGGACATCGTGGCTGGTGTACCCCAGAATCAGGTACTCCAAGTGTCTTTGATGAGGACGATGCTTGATATGTTGCTATGTGCTGTGGATGGGGAGGCAGGGAACTGTGTGTGTCGTCGTGTGTGCAAGGCGTAGCCTCCGAGTCCCTGATCCGCGTCTTGGGTTTTTGAAGTCACATACCTTCAGAGTTTTTACCCCCTTCCACCATCCTGTGTAAGAAGAATGAAGGCTCTCAACGCGAATCTCCATTACCCGGTCACATCTTCAGCATGGGTCTTCTAGGCTAGGTGTGACATTGCGTTTGTGTAAATGGGTGTGTCTCAGAATGTCAGTGTAACTCTGAATGATAGTGGTGTGTGTGTGTGTGTGTGTGTGTGTGTGACAGGTGGGTGTTGGAGGAGGCTGACTCAGGATTATGGAAGCAAACAGTTTCCTTTTTCTTGTTAGTTTGTGGATGTCACCTTCCTTCATGGCATGTATGTTGTGCTTTCTCAGTCTCTCCAGTAGTTGTCTCTCTTTGTGTCTCTCCTCATCTCTGTCTCCTTCTCTCTCTCCCTTTCTTGGTGACTCATCTCTGCAGCTTTGCCCTCCCCCGGCTTCCTGGGTCTCCCTCCCCCACTCAGGAGTGGGTGGGAGTATGAGGGAATGGGACCGGGGACTGAAAATTAGGGTGAGCAACCCCTTCCTATTATTTATAATTCCCAGACCTGTCAGTGGCCCCCAGCCCTCTCCCAGCCCCGTTCCCAGGACTCCCCACCCTACTCAACTGGAGTGGCAGATAGGGCAATAATGCATTCTGATGGGGCCGTTTTCAGGGGGAGGGGGTGCCTCAGCAGCTTCTTTCCGTTCCAAGTGGAGACCCCTGCCCCTCTCATAAAGTTCCTCCGCCTTGCCTCCCCCCCCCGCCCCCATCGCTGACGCAATGAAAGCCTGCAGAGGTGAGTCACCGGTTGGGGGAAAGGAAGAAAAGGAGGGGGACCTGGAGGTATGGGGGGAGGGGCATAGGAGGAAAGGGGAAGGGGACAAGCCCTTGTTCTTTTTCTCTCCCAAACTTTCTCAGGGAAAAGATCCAATGCTCCCCTTTCCTGGTTTTCCAAATCTTTAGCTTGAATCACTACTCTGCTGGACCCCATCTTCTCTTACCCTACTGGAGAGTGAGCGATTCAGAAACAAAGACAAAGAGAGATGCATTTGTACAAATAACTCAGCAAACACCAGGCATCCCCTCCAGATCCCCATCTCAGCTTTGCCTTTCCCAGCTCTCTTTCCATTTCTCTTTCTTTCCTGCCACCTCCCTCTCTCCCGGATCCCAGGAACCTGTCCCCAATCCAGCTTCTTTCTCAGAAACCCCTAAAGGCAGCAAGGTATGAAGAACGCAGTACATCTTCGAGAGGTAGAGTGTGCATGAATAAACTGCCCAGGTAGGGAACTGGGAAGGAGAGAGGCAGAAACAGACCCAGATAAGAGGGATCCAGATCCAGATTGTGGAATCACCAAGCCTATTGCCATTGGTGCCTGGGGCTCCCACCTTCTTGCCACCTCCCTCACCCCAAGATGGCTGAGACTCTTGGGATGTTAATTTCTGAGACGTTCTCCTGGGCTAGAGTGGAGAAAGGGAGGCATGGGGAGTTGGGGAAGAATGGAGGAACACCCTGAAAACAAGGGGGAGGACCCGAACTTGCGGGCTGCAGATGAGTGGCTTGGATTCTGAGGCTTTGTGGCATAGAAATCTAGAGAAAAGGTGAATGTGGGGAAGGGGCAGGAAAGAGCACATAGAAGTCCACATAACCTCTAACATATACCAACAGACATGGAAGGACCCAGAGAATGCAAAAGACACACGTGCGTGCGCGCGCACACACACACACACACACACACACACACACACTATCGACGCACCAACCCAGGCACACTTTCCAGACCCAGCAGATACCCAGACTCAAGACTCTTAACTACACAGGTATACTGGCACGCAGGAGGGATCAGAACCCACACCCATTCACACACAGATACCTGGAAACAGGAAAAACACAACCACACACACTGGGAAAGACTACATATTTAAATCAGAACACGACCACTCTTGCCCCCCCCCATCCCCTTTCTTTTTCTTTCCTCCCATATATTTCACTAATCTCTGTACACATATACACACATGTACATACATACATAGGTGCATGTCCACATACATGAGCCCACAGTAACTCAGTTTCTCTAGGTGCCTATCTCCCCTCACACTTAGTCCCTTAGCTCCATCAGCCTCGCAGTCTCCTCCATGGCTCCCCCGCTTTGCCTGGCTCTTGGATGGCTTCCCCTCCCCCTCTCCAGATGTCTGAACCAGCTCTCTCTGATTCATCCTCCTCGAGAAGGTAACGTGACCCCCTCCTCATTCCAATGCTCTCAGTAACCACACGGGAAAAGAGGGAGATGGGGAGGGAAAGGAAGAATGAGGGGGGCCCCCACGGGCAGCAGGAGACCCTAGATTTGTTGTGTGTGGCGGGAGGGGGGTGGATGAAGTACTGTTGTGGGGCCTGTTACCCCCTCCTCTCCCTTCTTTCCTTGACATCTCCGCAGTCACCTTGGCTTTCAGTATCTTCCTTTTGCCTGTTCCCTCTACCTTTTCCAGATTCCCTCCTTCCTTCTTCCCTCTCCTGCTGTCTTCTCTCTTTCCTCTCTCTCCTCCTCCCCACCTCTTTCCTCGCAGAGCTGATGGGCTTTCTTCTGGGAAAGTCGAGCCACTGATGGAACCGAGAAGCCACTGTTGGCTATAGAGGGAAAACACGTGAGTGATTGTGTGTGTGTGTGTGTGTGTGTGTGTGTGTGTGTGAGAGAGAGAGAGAGAGAGAGGAAGAGAGAGAGAGAAGGAGGAGGAGGAAGAAGGGTGGCCAACTTTACAAAGGAGGAGGAGGAGGAGGAGGAGGAAGAGGAAGAGGAGGATTAATGCTAGGAAGAGATGAGGAGGGGGCTGAGGACTGGCTCTGACAATCTGAGCCCTGTGTGTGCCCATGGGTACCCCTATGGCTGCAGTTCTTGTGTGTCTGGTGTGTCATTGTAACTCCCCCCTTTCACTGCCCACGCCTCCGCACAGCTCTCTGCCTGCACTGAAGCCCCCCTCCCTCCCCTTCATTCCTGCACTGGCGGCTCCCCTTGGCTCACTCCTCTCTCCCCTGCCCCCTCCCC